CTCGAAATAATCAGCATTTAGTAGTCCTTTGTATCTCGAACATTGCACCAGCTTTACTTCTCATGTATAATTGACCAGGTCATTAGCGTTGGTGGGAAAAGAAGAAGGCCGAGACGTACCCTTGAGATAAGCGTTGATCAACAAGTTCAGATGAAATGGTTGCGTTACGGTCACGTCTTACCTGAAAATATGTATCCAAGTATCATCAATCCATGGCAAAGACATTTCGGGGCATCCCAGACGGCGCAGCAGTAGTAAATGGCCCACAAAGTCAGCGGGCTTGGAAAAATAAAGCAGGTACGGAAGTGTCATCCAAACAACGTGTACAACTCTGTAAACTGCGTCGGAAACAGTAAATATGCCCGATTTCTGTTCAAAAAGAATTCGAGTGCCGTAAACGTTGACTTAACAGTGCTAAGAACATTCTGGATTAGGTTCAGAGGAACAGAGCAGAGGCCTCGTCAAACAGTTAAGAGCTCGGGATGATCCAGAGTCTCCAAATCACACGCTGACGAGGTCACCAAGGGGCCTTAAACAGCTTCAGAAGGACCCAGAACATCAGATTGTTACGAGCCACCTTAGTAAATGCGCAGTGTTGCCTTTGGATGCTTAAATCGTTCGAGGTTGACAGCAGTCCTACAGAAAACAAGCCCAGTAAGCCATGCGGAGGATTATTTATACGATGATTAATGATGATGATTAGAAAACCACGTGAAAGAGGAAGCTGGGGAACTGGAGGATGGGTAGCCACGGAACTGTCTGAGCATCCGAAAAGACAAAAACGCGGCCTTTCGATAAGTTCTTGGGCTATGAAATAGCTCGAACACAACGGCAACGCAGGAACGCCACGAATCTCTGGAGGTGAGCCTTAGAACTCACGCATGAGGGAAAACCGAAACGGTATGAATAATGCGCGCTCAATACACGGTGCAGTTTCACGACTGAGTGTTCTTTTGGCTCTCTATACTGTGATCCTACGCTGTGTTCGACCTTGCCTGCCGACACACTTGTGGAAGCCAGCATTCCACGCTTCATCGTGCTTGAACCCCGTGTTGCTTGTTGGACGATAACACCAAACCTGTCGCATGGGCTGCAGCGGCTGCAATGCTATGCCAATCATTTTTAATGTGCTTCTGGCGTTTTTGTAACAATACGCAAAAGATGGCATCCAGTCCGCTCTCGCTGTGGCGAACGTCAGGAACTAGGTCCTCTCTATTTATAGACCTCTGATTCTGGCCACCATAACCTTCGAAAGGTCAAACAAGGTCACTGGCCTTTAATTATCATGGGACCCTTTGCAAAGAGCAGGCCTCTAGGTTCTGGGACACTTTGGAGACCAATTTAGAGTTTGAGCCTGTTTAACCTTATTTAATTCAAAGGTCATAACCTAGGAACCTTAGAACTTGACCTAAGTGAGTTCACATACAGGTCAAGACACTCTGCGAATTTGGTGTTTATAGCCATTTTAGTTCTTGAGATCTCAGCGGGGTCAAATTGAACCCCCCCCCCCCCCACCACACACACACACACGAGCAAAGGCTATCCGACCGGCCACCCAGGCGCGTGTTAATATGAGTGCCGTTGTTTTTACATTACACAGCTTGCGCATGGCAATGACTTCAACGCGTGCTGTCCTTTTCATAAGCCACACATGCTCCTTTAAGAACTTAACCCACCCATCTGAAACATAAAACGCTGTGAAAAAATTGTATACATCTAACGTGTCCTAAAGAATAAAGCAGCGTTTATAATGACAGATTCAACTATATGCGTCTGGTCTAAGACAGCTGAATTTCCCATCGGCACTCAGTCAAAACACGAAATGGGAAACAGGTCCGGGCGGCATCCGGACGTGCAGCTGCCGACTTTGTTCTGGCTTTCACCGCGCGTGCACACGTCATCGCGTACTCGAAACCGTGTAATCCGCGGAATTATTACCGGCACACAGCCGCGGATATTCTTCATAAGCTCGATCATTCGCCCACCGCGTCAAACCACCTGCTCATCACCATTGCAGCGCCAGCTTGAAGTGAAAGCGGACGGGGATTCAACAGTGCCGTGGCCCCGTGCTGGTCCTGGCGGCTGAAGAGGGGGGGGGGGGGGCGGTCCACCAGCTCCGATATAGCGGCGAGAGCGGTCGGACCGGACGGTCACGGGAACAGGGGGAGGAGGGGGAGGGGGGTGACCCGGCAGGTGATCACTAGTGGGCCGAGCGGAGTGGTCTGACCAGTCCGACGACACTACCGGCCTGAGGCGGTCACACTCCGGAGCTGGCAGCGAGACGCACCACTTCGCCACTCCGCTGGGGAGACTGCGGACCGACCGGCGGTACAGCGCCACCAGCTGACACCATGCACGCCGTCCGGGTGAGTAGACGTCTGACGTTGCCATAGTAACGGGCTTGTCGCGCGCAGAAATAAACGCTATGCTGAAGACATTGAAATATACTTAACGAATTATGTCACTGTACGATTCATTCATGCGTCACCGATAGGTGATAGGCAGTCTGGAGTGATGACTATCACTGTCACGGTCTGATCGCCCGCTGGTAGGCAATGCGGAGCGTCGCCATTATCATTATTATTTATGATTACATTCGCGATCTAAACGCTCGGCGATAGGCACTCTGGAGTGATGACTATTACCATCGCAATCTGGTCGCCCGGCGATAGGCAGTCCGGAGCGTCATAATTGTGTATTGTTACCATTGCGATCTGCTCACCCATAATAGTCAGTCCGAAGTGAGGACTGTTACGGTCGCGATCTGGTCGCTCGACGACTTGTATGATGCTTGATGGTATACATTGCCAACGGAAGCCATCCAAACGAACAAGTCACAAATCATCTTTGTCATTAGAGATTTTGATTATATGAACCAGACAGCTGTCCTTTGCTAGTTTTTTTTTACGAGGGACTGCGCCGGGTGGTGCCATGTATAGCATGAGCTCTTTGATATCTCATATCGCCTTGTTTCAGGTACTGTTGCTCGTTGGGTTCATGTCCAGCCACGTAGTGCTAAATACTGCATCTGACCACGGGACGGGGCTTTGGACGAGCCTGAAGAACCTTTGGAAGGAAGACGAGTAAGTCGCTTGAAATCCGGGTATAGAAGCTTTAGTGATGATATTTTCACACCGGTTGCATGTTTAGGGTGGCATAATTCGTTAACAGGCCTCACTGTGGCAGCCAGGTCACTAAGCTGCCGGTTGGTCCTCAGTTTATGAAGTTTTAAACGGTGTCGGGTCATAATCCAGCCTCCTCCGCGCCGACAAAACCCACACGAGCGTCACTCTCACGCCGCCATATCCATGCCACTGTGACGTCATAATGTTGACATGGATTCACGCTGCCGGGCTGAACGCGAAGCTAGCGTCACCGGCCACGACGCCATGATGTCACGGGCATAACCACGGGAGGCGCCAACTTAACATTTCTAAAAGTTTTGATAAAATATGGCATACAGTGTGCATGCAGTCCGTAATCGGGCCTTTTCTCAACCCCACGCACTAGAACCAACTAGCCAGGCAGGAGACGAATAACATGCTTTTTTGCACCGATGGCAGGTAGCTTCATGTAAACAAGAAAGGCGCACATGTGAAAGGAATGTGATTGCAAACTTAAACCTGCTGAACATGTAGCGAGGACCATACCAAGAGATCATACTTATACTGCCTGCATGTAACCACATCTTGACCACCATCGCAACATTATTTGCGACAGAACCAGAAAAACTGCGGGTGAAATAAGACTATATCGGCTCCGTGGAGTGCCAGTCTCGACACGTGACAGGACGAACTTCTGCACACGGCCAGATTCACGAGAGAGTGACTTAGGCTAAGACACGCACAAACGCAAGACGGAACATACATAACTTGTTTTTTTCTCCTGTAGACTCTGAAGTGAACAGCCCGCCCTGCCTGAGACACTGCACCAAATATCTCCGCCACTAGACGCTTAACAGACTGAAATGGGCTGGGCACTACAAAACGAAAACATATCTCCAGCTAATTTAATTACTTTCCTCAAGCGATCATTTCTCTCGAGTGCCGCAAACTCTGGGGTAACCTCCCAGCGCTCATCCGTCCACAGCCCTTACCCAAGGCCTTCAAAACAGGTCTCACACAGGGGATAGATGCAGGACAATCATCAGACTTACGTCCTTTTGACTCCATTAAAGACAACTGATTATATGCACAATGATTGCCAGATACGACGGCTCTAAACGCTCACAGTAACAGGTACAGATATTCCAAAGCCTTTAAGACATTTACGCATATGCATATATAGATACACCTCAGAGACAATGCAACACTTCGCACTTGAATGCCACCAACGCCGCTGGTCAGAACAGAAATATTCACAAATGTTGACGACCGGCTGACTTTGTAACTCACCTCTGATATCTTTGCACATTTATCAGCCAAATATACTATTCCTCCACAGAAGAAGCCTCAGCACCTGCGTTTGCCACCGAGTAGCTGTCCATTTCCACCAATTCCTCATGACATCTGGTTGCTTCCAACAACAGCTGCCAGTCGGTGTTTGTGTCGCCAGCGACAGTGCAGTGTGGATGTGGCAAAGCAACTGACAACGGTGGACAGGCTGACTCTTACACGGACTTGGCAGGGCTGACATGTGGTGTTTGATTTAGTTGGGGATGGGTACTGTTTACAGGCGGTAACTTATGTCCCAGTCTTTTTTAGTTATAATTTCTTTGTCATGCTGCTCTGTTTTTTTTCTGTGTATTGTCCTAGCACAAGCCGGGAGATATATGATGATGGTGCTGGTCTGACGTCAGATTACCGGTCTGATGTCCTTGTGATACCGGTCTGACGTCATAGTGATGGACTGCCAGCATTTTGATGTTTGTCTGACGTTCCCTGGTGGCTGCTGTGATTCGGATCGGGCACCAGTCTGATGCCGACATGCCATCAATCTGGTGATGATTTGACGTCACTTGAATGCCGGTATAACGTCAACTGGGCTCATATCCGTCGACTATGACGTCAGCCTGATGTCAGTCTGACGTCAGTTCGATGCGTGCCTGGTGCCAGTGTGGCACCAGCGTGATGGCGCTGTGTCAGCGCATGCCAAGCTGGCGTAGGTGGCGCTGCCCCGGCCAGCCTGCGCCACTGAATCCGAATCCTGCCGCCCCGCAGGCCGGAGTACATTGAGGTGGCCGTCCCCCTGCAGCAGCAGCCCGTGTACCAGCAGCCGCTGTACCAGCAGCCTGTGTACCAGCAGCCGCTGGTGCAGCAGCCGCTGGTGATGGCGGCACCCGTGCAGCAGGCCCCGCCGCCGCCGCCGCCGCCGCCGCCGCAGATTGTGCACGAGGTGATCAAACACCACGTGGTGAAGGAGCCCGCGGTGACCCGCGTCGTTAAGCATAACGTACCCGTGCCCCGCTTCGTGCCCGTGCGGCACGAGGTGCCCATCCCCAGTCCCGTGTACGTGACCAAGTACCGCGAGAAACCGGTGCTGTACACCCACTTTAAGAAGTACCCCGTGTACGTGACCAAGTACGTGCAGCGGCCGGTGTACGTCACCAAGTACGTGGAGCGGCCGAGCACGGGGTACGGATCGCCACCGCCGTACCACGGGTACGCGGCGCGCTCCGATGGCCCGGCGCCGCCGCTCTACCCGGATCCGGATCGGGCGGACACCGGATCCGAGTCTAGGCGAGCCACGCCACAGATGTCTGCGCGGGCCGCGTGGCTGGCAGACAACGGCCAGCGGCCCGCCCCCGGCAGCGAAGGCCAGTAGACCCAGAATAATGGGCCTCACGTGCCGTTTGGCCGAACGCAGGCTAGTGTTGAGATGGCTTGTTACGCGTTGTTATACAATAGCACACTATTTATGTAATGCTGCACAATACATAAGTGAAACAGTGTTGATGTTTCACAACATATGAGTGAAAGCGTGCTGATGTTGCGCGATATGTGAGGGAAAGAGTGTTGACTCAGTGGGGTGTTACGACGCGCAGTTTGGAAAGCCGTGGAAACTCGCGTGCGTCGCAGCGAACGGAACAAAAGCTCATGTTAAATAGTAATTCAGTCAAAATTTTAGGGAGAACGTAACCAATATTATATGGCTTAAATCAGTGACGTAAGAGACACAACTTGTTACACAACGTATCGCAATGGCAAACATCACAGTCAGGCCAGGTCATGGCCTAGCCTGATCGTGCGCATGCTGGCGGTAGCTTTTTAAGCCTAGTGGCCTCATAGGGCTCGTTGCAATTAGGACCGTGAGCAATATTGTCATCTGTGCCATAATGGTTTTAGACCCGTATAAGATTGAAGTGCATATTTGGTAATCATTTTTTACATATGTCTTGTTTCAGCATTGACTTGTGCCAAAAGTGAGAGTTACGTAGTTCCGCGCCTATTCAAATTATGATCAAGGTGGCCGCCATAACTGACCCAGCGTGTACTTAATTGGCTTCACGAGGTTCTTTCCTTCATTCAGAGCCCATTCTCTGGGTCGAGATTCCCTTTTATGAACAAGACAGCCCCTACCCTGGCCCCCTTCATGGGCTAGGTAGTTTCTGCCCTGAATCAGAAGTCTCCGTTCTGTATTTTGGAACACCCTCCTCGTGAATAATTAGGCCCTGATTCTGGATTGGCGCGCACACTTTACATTGAGGCCCATGTTATAGAACAGGAGAGCCCATTTATTTACCAGGAGGCCGTGTTCCAGCATAAGATGTCTATTTGCTGAATTTCGAGTCCCTTTGAAAGCCACCGTTATGCATCAAGAGGTTCTTCTGCGTACAATACGCCCCTGTTTTTGAACCGGAACCCATGCTGTGGGATAAGGAGACCCTTTTCCTGGATCCGGAGACACTCGCCTGCAATCAGGAGTCTTCCTCGCAAGATCACGTGACCCCTATACAAGAGGCCCCTAGACAAAATTAGTTTCTGAGAAGCTTGTTGACTCCAATGGCACAGGCGGTGCTCTGTCCACTGCGAATGTCCAAGAAGCGCAGGACCCTTGCCTCTAAGGAGGCCGTGGGAAACCTGGACTTTCACAACTGCCTGTTTCACTGACATTTCACGTTGGGGAAGGGACTGCGGTGAGAGTTGGCGTGGTGATTGGCGCTAGGGTCGGGAATGACTGGGGTCGTCTTGATGGCGGGTGGCTGGAGTTTTCACCGCCCGCTCGAACTTTTTTACCTTTCATCGGAGAAAGACAAGGGTATTTCCAGCACCCACGGCTTGGTTCGCTGCAGTCACAATGGTGCTCTGGTAAATCGTTTCAGATCAGCTAGTGACCCCTGTTGAAGTTGGGGAGGCGTTCAACGCCTCCTCAACTTCAACTGTTCCCGTCTCGGTTGGGGGTGTGACTGCTACCGTCTCGGTTTCTATGGGCCATGCCGCACAGACCGCCCTCGAAGAGTGCATTGACAGGATTTTATGATGACCTGGCAAAGTGGTTGCATACTTCAAACCGAGCCAATGCCAAAATCGCCCTTTGACTTCTTCCAGGCTATATATGGGCCAGGAAGGCCATGTGAGGTCAATGGCATGCCATGACTTTGAATGGTAAATTGCTTGTTTAACCTCGCTATTCCGATTGAGGCTTTTACTGAGATCCTATATAGGACCCACTGTTGGCCAAAATAGACCTCAGGTCATGGTGTTCGAGGTCATTGCGGTCACCCCACTCTCAACGCTTCATGCGAATACAAACAAAGATACATTAAGTGAGCTAGATCACAGCTGCTCGGAAAGTTAGCGATTCCTTTGACGTCTTTACGTCGTGAACTTGGGTGACCTTGACCCGAAACTTTATAACAACCCTCTGCCGCCCAGGTAGGGTTACGCATCGTTAGAAATTGATCAAATGCATTGCTTCGGAGGCTTGCAAAACGCGTTAGAATGCGAAGGTAGAGGGGGGAGGGAGAACAAAAACTTCCTCCTAACCATTTGCAAGGTGTTGCCTTTAAGTCACACAGTGCAGCGTCAGACGTCGTCAGGCATAAACATTGAGGTAGGCCCTGGAGTAAAGATACGAAACAATGCAGACTACCGTTAAGTTAGCACGCCGACCGGCAACTTATGGGCAACGATCTCTCGGTATACAATGACGCTGCTGACTACCGTTCAGCTTCAGCCGTCAACTTCAGCATACCGCGTACCAGATCATCTCGCAGCTTCTCCAGCTACAGCCATAGGTTGAACACGGCGCGAACTCGGTTGACATCGCGCATGCCACAGGGTGTGCAGTTGCGATAGTTCCCCCATATCGCATGGGAACTTAGAGCATCAATTTCCTTTTGCCGTTTTGTTCACGTACCTCGACTGAGCAGCGAATTGGAACAACAGACATCGACCCTATATAGTGCAATTCCTTTAATCTTTCCGACTTGTGGGAGTGAATTTTGTCCCTCTCACTTGGGTATTACGTGGCTTGCTTGCTGGATTTATCTTCATTCTCAAAGTGCCCTCATCAGGTGCCTCCAAAACGACACAAGTGCCACATTCCACGTAACCCAATCGAAAATTTTGGGTTTGGACTCTGCATGGTTCTTTCAGAGAGACTGACTCCTTACTTTGTTTGCAATAAGCACAAAGATGACACAATTTGTGCCAACAATACGCATTCTTGCCGAAGATATGTGGATATAATGGATTTATGCCCCCACCATATATCCCATCGCGTATTTCCGTCCTAAATATCCAGCTTCGAGGAAAATATCTAGTTGGTACAGCAGCCACTTGCCTTCAAAACGTAACATTGGCAGCGGGCACCGCGCTGACATGGTGGCTGTGCGGAAGGCGGAGGACGTGAACAGCCTCGTGAGCTATGAAAACAACAAAATCAAGATAAACAATGTCGAGCTGATGACCCCCTCCCCCACTCCCACCACTATTCTCCTCGAGGAGCTAAAGGAGGAGCTTTGCCTTTCCTTCAGAAGCTGTGTCAAAACCTCCGCTGACTCAGCTTCTGAAGGAAAGCGGGCTGCTTGCTGCACGCCGTGCGTCATATCCGCTGCGTGACCGACGCCCGCCTGTGTCAGAAAGCAACGGCAATCGAGATTTGTCTGAAGGACTGAGCAAGCCAGTCACTGTGAATGTGCTGTAACAATGTATGCGACAAATGCCTGTCATTAATTTTACATAAAGCACTTTAATATCTCGTCCCATTGAATGTATAAGTGTCTGTTCAGAAAATGTCTAAGGTTTCCAACGTGGCTACTAACGGGGAATAGAAATGCGCGCATCAATTTCAGGCCAATCTCTGCCAATAGCTAGCAAACATCGGGCACTCAGCAGCATAGCACAAACCGATTCATTTTTACGAACGGCTTTGCCTTTTCCACGACTTAAAGCTCACTCACCAACAAACATTGCTGCTTGGCAACGCACATAAAGATGCGATTACTATCTAAAATCGGTCTCCGTAATGTGCTGTTAGTTACCCGTGTTACACGACAAAACGGGCTTTCCAAACCAAACCCAAACTCAAAATAACTTAACTCACAAAAACTAATGAACGCCACCCGCAGAATGGAGAATGGATATTATCAGTTCAAAAACCGAGACGTCGGCAACAACCGGAGATTTCGCTGATCTGGGGAAGACCACACAGACGGCCAAAGTGGGCATACCAAAAATTATTGACCATCGAAAATGCACACCGGCAACAAAAGCTCCACAGAAATGGTACACATGCTTCTATCTAGATATTTCAAAGGTGTAGTAAGGTGTATTTAAAACGACTCATGAGATAACGGGCGGCGTGGAGCTACCACGGTCATAATTGCATGTTTGGAATCGCATTCTACCAACAAACAGGCCGTTTTAAACCTGTGTAGGATGACCGATGCAACAAATGCAGAAAATGCCCAATGTACGTGTTTGTGGAGACGATTCATCGCCTGTTTCGTCACCGTCTGAATGCTAGCCGGTACTAGACCAAAGTAACTATCTTATGCCCGGGCATATAAATTAACATGAAATTCATCAAATTTGAGCGCAATTAGAATAATGCAAGAGACAGAGAGTACACCTTATCATTTGATATGCTGACAATGTTGGAATGGTATTTGTTTGTGATACCGAAGTTAGGGTTAACATTAAATGCTGAAGACTTAAAACGGTTCTTGGAAGTTATAGTACTGTTAAATGTCCATAAATAAGTTAGTTACGCGCGCGCGCGCGCGCACGTGTGTGTGTGTGTGTGTGTGTGTGTGTGTGTGTGTGTGTGTGTGTGTGTGTGTGTGTGTGTGTGTGTGTGTGTGTGTGTGTGTGTGTGTGTATGTGTGTGTGTGTGTGTGTGTGTCCGACACCAAGCAACGTCCTTTGGTTTGAACTCAAATTCACTTAAACGTGTGCTGACCAAACTTCCTCTTGAAATTTTATTCAATTTTAGATCCTAGGATTATTTTAATGAATTCGTTTTCATTATGTGCCCACCTATGGTAATAGGTCAACTTAGTTCTGTAAACCGACTGTCGTTTAGCAGTTTTGGTGTGCCCCGTTAAGAGCATCATGCAAAGGCTCCATATTTTGTAACTTGAGCAGTTGCATTCAACGTTCAGGCACATGAATCAGGACGGAAAGGCTTCCCACTAAATCTAACCCTTCCGCATACG